GCACTTCTCTTCTAGCTCATGACAAATTCACCTCAGTTAGGAGGCGGAAGAGCTCTTGGTGTAGGTACGAAACTGTGATAGCTTCCGTGCAGGATAAGATTTGTCCAAGATTAATAGAAATGGCAGGGCTATGTTCCTCGAGCAGAGCTTGAAAAGCAGAAGTGGCAGTGAATTGGGACAAAAAATGAATATTGTATATCGTGGTCTCCAGGGTGCCTCGTTGCTGATACTGTAAAGCGCGACTATATGTCGTGGTCTCCTGATTGTATCTCCGACGGGACCGGTACATACTGCAAGCGACGATATGCCGCAATTTCCCGTGACACAGCCGTTAGATCTAAAGAATAATTGTAAGTCGCGAGTAAAAGGGCAAAGTGTGACGAATGGTCTATCCTGGTTCTGATGCGAGAATGGACTATTGATTGGCGACTCGCTGTGCTGAGTATTAAAGCTTTAGGGGTGGTGGCAGTAAAATGAAATGGTCGTGAGCGTAGTGACCGGGCAGTCTCGGGGGTTGTAAGTCTTCTATCACCACCTTCAGCAGCAGCTCGTATAGAGCTGAAGAAATTATCGTTTGGGAAATGGATCAAGGATTTGCAAGACGGCGAAGTCGCCCAAATGACACGATCATGATTGAGGCGGAACGAAGCATAAAAACGACACTTGCTGAGCTCTGTGGGGCTGAAACTATTCTCGAGGATCCTACAAGTCATTTTTATACTTCGTTCAAAAAATGTCACGATGTGCTGAGAAGAGACCACAACGTGTGTTTTCCCGGATAAAGGATTGCATTTTGGAATCGACTTTATTCCTTCGACAAAAGATTGCGGCACATTGCACCGACCCTTATTCGCAAATATGGGGTTTCATAAACGCTTACTTTAGCTGTAAGCCCAAAGTAAATTTGTTGAAAAGCAACCCCTTGACCTCGTTGATGTTACTTATTCACAGCTCGTGTGAGATAGCGATACCTTTCTCTCGCGATGAGTACTTTAAGTAGGGTGCTCTTGGAGTGGCTACTTAGGCCTTAGAGCCTGCCGAATACAGCAATAACTGAAGTCGTTGGTCAAGGCAGCGGTTCAGGCTACACTCAAGGCGATCAATAACGTGATATTGACTTGATTGATGGGTTGACTGAGTGATTAATCAATCAACAATTAATTTCGACGTATCTTCCAATATAATTGAGAAGGTTATTACGGTAGCTCCACTTAGAGGCGGAAACGAGAGTCACTCGAGGAACTTAGTATTTACTTTGCTCTGCTGACATACTGAGATGGAAATTATTTAACTAATCCTAGATATATGTTTACTATGCTCAACGATAAACACATCTGCATTGCTTGACGTGGGGATAACAGCCATAGATTGCCATTATTTTACGAAATTTAATCAGTACTTTGCTGATAATATAATTTTAGCAAAACACGCAGAAGTGTAGTGTAAATTTCGACAAATGTGCAATTTTATTTTTGCAGAATTGGACAGAAGCGCACTGCTACGGCCTTTGAAGATCTCATGGAAACATTGAGATCCATACTTGAGTTGGATCGAATGAATTATCCAGACGGTACAGTTGCGTCAGCTGAGCATAATTTTAGCCAGTACTACTCTACTTTAAAACATAGTGCTATATCTTTTCTTCTCTCTTCTGTGTGTCAGAACATGTGGTTGTGCTGCTGGTAAAGAGATGTAGACCAGCAAAAAATGATGATAAATTACATGACCAAAAAGCAGCACGTTTCTTTTCGAACTGTCGATAATAACACCATCGGTGATCAAAGTGATGAGCTCAAAGTCTATCCCAAATTTCAAAAGAAGACACAAACGTTGGAAGAGCACATCCATGGAGCATCTTGAGTGTTTGTGACTTATTTTGATCATGTTGATTATTTCAATTCACAAGGTACACACGTCTCAATTTTACATACCTTTGTGCATTCTCACATCTTTCTTACGCTTCCATGAAGTGGTTTCGGTCTCGGTCGGAGGGATTTTCGACACTTATTGACTTGGAAGGCTTTCTGACATAAGCCTTCCTAAACTTAGTTACAATAGCAGTATATTTTGTAACGGAAATTGCCCGTCGGTGTACGAACACTTTTTTGATGAAGGCTTAGGTCGGCCGACACACCTCACCACGTGTTGCTCGCTTCCATTGGGCCGTTGACATACGTAGAGTAGAGGAAAGGTGAAATAAAATTAATTTCTAACCAATAGGAATGCAACCTCCCCAACCTGATAATTCCTTATACACGGTGTGCATCTAATGTCAGACACATAAAGTATATGGTCCACACAACATATGTGTTGGAATACATATTTTTGTTAAAGAGAGATTACGCTGATTTGGTGGGTAATGTCGTTACGAACGCCAGCGTCCGAGTTATCACCAAAGAGTGAACTGGGTGTGGATTGTCCAAGACAACATCGAAGTCCATAAACGAACCACTCTACCCTTAAAAGTCTTCACCGTCACGATTGTTCAAGTCTCGTTTTTAAGTCGTGGTCACCAATGCTATATGTGAGAGGGCAAGCCGCAAGTGGGCTCGACATCAACTTTGAGTCATTGAAGGGGTCAGTGAGATTTGCTTCCCCCTAATTCCTTATGTCATTTGGAGTCTTGTGCAGCATTGACGCTATGGTTGTTCGTATAAAAAGATTTTTCATTTCGCACGAAAAATACGTGATCGCACTGCTGTCCAGTGGCACCAATTGGATCTAATTGAAGCTCGATAAAGAGGAATGCCAGGGTAGGATAAAAGCATCCAGTGTCCTCACTCAGTTTCTTGCACACTTCCAAGTAGAGGCAAATTATGCTTATCAACCTTAGACTTGGTAAAGTTACTGCTCTATTGCAGAATTTCTCGCATTTTGAGAGGGTCTTTATAAAATCAAGTGCATGAGCGAGATAAAGTGTTTTGGTATTTTGAATTTGGAAATACTCCAAATTTTCGTCTGTCTCGAACTCTTTACTGTGTCAAGTAACTTTACGACTCGGCTGTGCTTGCACTTGAGAGAGCAGGCAAAGACTGAGGATGACGCAGTTTCGCCGCCTTGAAGTAGTTAAGATGGGCTTAAGCAACGTTAGTCATTGAGTCGAATAGCCTGTGCGGTCACTCGACTTTATTTCTGTGGTGTGGGTGTGTATCCAGTAGTGCTGCAAAGATTACGTAAAGGTGGCTACATTTACGAAAATATTCAAGATAAACATGCATATTATTGACTAATTCTAACAGAACTTTTGAGCTTTTGATTAATTTCTTTTGATATTTATGGATTCGTACTACGAGTACAATGCATTTGCCGTTGCTAAGGTGACTTTAAAGACATCTTTGACACATTATACCATGTAAAACAACGTATATTACCTTTGCTAGTGCAATGCAAGAGTAATAAGTGCAGTTACCTACTTACCACTCTT